GGGGGGGTGGTGGGGGGGGGGGGGTGGGGGGGGGGGGGGGGGGGGGGGGGGGGGGGGGGGGGGGGGGGCATGATGGTTGTGGGCGCAGAAGTGTTGGGAGCGGAAGCTGGCAGGATGCAGGTTCACTCCAGGCAGAAGGGGGCAGGCAGTAGGGCATAGTCTCTGCTCCCAACACTGCTGTGACCACATCCTGCACCTGCCAGCAAGCAGCGACAGGGCAGAGCCTATGCTCCCAGTGCTGATGCGGGCACGGTAGTGCTGGGAGTGGGGGCTATGCCCTGCTGCTGCCTGGAGCAAGCTATGCCTCCATCGCACACACCCCACCCATGCCACCTGGGCAAGCAGCAGCAGGGCATAGTCCCCATGGGTCCCCCTGCCAGGGCAGAGGCAGGCATAGCTGGAAGAGCCACAGGAGAAGCCCCCATGGCCTCCGTGCCTGGGCCAGCCTCTCAGCACTTAAAAGAAATAAAAAAGCCCTGCAACTCACTGGCTCTGGCAGCAGTGATCAGGAACTCCAAGGGCTCATAGCAGAGCCCCCCCGTGCAGTGCAGGGGAATGGAGATCATTCCCCCTGCCCCCCAGTTGGCACCTGCGTGTCAGCTTCCCCAGGGTGCAGGTGCAGCGTGGCTCAGCAGGATGCTGCACGCTGTCTGGTACCTGGGGTGGCTTCACGTGTCAGCCAGAGCCCAACACTGCTCAGCCCCAGCGGCCCCAGCTCCCAGCGACACACAGTATCCTGCTGAGCCATGCTGCACTCACGTGATGTGACAGCTGCCAAGCGGGGGGGGTGGGAGTGATCCCCACTGTCCCATGCTGTGCGGGGGGGCTCTGCCATGAGTGCCAAGAGGCTCCAATCACCACTCCTGCAGCTGGTGAGTGTGAGGCTTTTATTGTTTGTTTATTTTATGTGCAGGGACTAGACTGGGGCCAGGCGGGGAATGGGGTCGGGCAGGGCAGCCAGGGGGGCTTCTCCTGTAGCTCCCCCTGTCCAGAGAGAGACAGGCACAGCTGGAGGAGTCACGGGAGAGTTTGCAGCTGCCCGGCTGTGTCTGCCTCTCCCCGGCCAATCCAAATAACCGCCAAATCTTCTGAAGCTGTTTTGGCTGAATTGATTCAAGACAATGATCTGAACTGGTCCTCCAAATTGGCCGAATCCAAATCTGACATCAAATTCTTCCCTATTTGCACAGGCCTAGTGACAAGTACCTAATAATGCCTGTTTCAGGTGTCCAGTTTATAGGATGCCAGTATCCCTACCATAATTAGCACTTGTGTTATCAGTCTCAAGAAAGGAGCCAATGAATAAGTAGATAAATAAGAAAATCTCGTACTTAGAAAATATTCAGAAAAGGCAGGTAGGTGAGGTAATGAAAAAAAGACTTGGTTTCACCAGTATCTATGTTCTATCTATTCTGTAGAGTACCATCTCTCTCATGGGCTTAAGCACCAGCCATATAAAGAGACATCCATGTCTCACTCCTGGGTATCACAATGCCTCACCAAGATCAACACTTGAATGATTCCCTTTACATCCCACACTTGATTTTCCACTTACCAAGTGCTTTTGCACCCAGATTAAATCAAATTCATAGCCTTCAGATTCTGTTGAGACTGCTCACTGCTAGATTCTCAAACAGCCACAGCTGCATGCGCTGCCCCCTCCCCTTTGCAGCTGAACAGCAACTTAACAGATTCTGATCTGCCAAGGGTGTAACACAAGCAACTTTTCCAATTCTGATTAAAGAACTCTTATTTAAGAAACAAAATTACACACTTTGACATAGATGTATAATATAAAAGCCCAATAGCCCTAGTGCTGAAGTCAGTTTTCTCACCTTTTTAACCCATCCAAATTTCTTAGTGTTATTCCGGACTGGGAGTGATAACCAGCCCTCTAATCTTGACTCTGTAAACAAATATTAAAGCAAATCAGTAGCTGAACATACATTCTTTTTGAGCCTCTATGCATTTGAAATAGTTTTTAATTTGAAGTCACAAAGCAGACACACAAATGCCATGGCCAGCTGAGGGGATGGGGAAAGAAATCACCCTAAAAAACAGCAAGTTTTTAGGAAGCCACGTCTTACACGTAGCAACTAACAGCACGTAATGCAACTCAAATTGAGTACATGACCAAATATCTAATAATAAAATTATACTATTACACACACACGTACATTCACATTCCTTTTTAGTAAAAATAAAACAAAGATGTTTAGGAATTAAAACGCTTATAATCATCAACCTCCAGCAATGAAAACTGCTTGTTTAAAAGCATTAGTATAGAATATAAAACAGTCAGTTCTAGGAAGAAGTTTCAGAATATGAACATACATAAAAGTACATGAAATGTAAAAGGCTGCACATAAAGGGTTATATTTAATGGCTATTGTACATGTGTCTATATACAGACACTTATTGCGTAACTTGCATATTACTTACATTTTGATATAGGAGTAACCAGGCAAGGTTCTTTGAGTAGATGTGATTATTTTTTATTAGACGAACTGAGTAGTTGGAAAAAAGGTTCTTAGCAAGCTTTTGGGCACAGTCACCCTTCTTCAGGCATACGGACTCTCTGCTGGTCACTCCCTATGCCTGAACAAGGGTGACTGAGCCCGAAAGCTTGCTAAGAACCTTTTTTCCAACTACTCAGTCGGTCTAATAAAAAATAATCACGTCTACTCAAAGAACCTTGCCTACCTATGTCCTTAGATCAACACAGCTACGACCAAAACCTCAGCAGATATGGGAGTAGAGGATTTACAAATAAAACTAACTGTACTCTGTCAAGGGCAAAAGCAAAATGTCAAATTCTGCTGGTGTAATCTGAATCCCTTGCTCTACTACCTTTTCCCTAGAGCCTACATATATCACCATAGCTTTCTAATCTGTTAAAAGCCATCTCTGGCTAATTCTCTGGTCTTTTCATGCATACAGTACACTGTCTCACTGAATTATTTCATAAGAAATACCATATTTGTTTTAATTCAAGGTAAGGTTCCCCCCTCCCCGCCTCAACTATGGCTGAAAACCTTGTCTTAAGTTTCAGTCCTAAGCCAGGATAGGTGGTGGCTCAGCTCCGGCCAGAGCTGACCTGCTGCCTGCCCCAGCCTGGGGTGGCTTGTGTGGTGGTAAAGGAGAAGGTTTGCAGGAGGAATCGGGAGGCACAGGGCAAGAACTCAGGGAAACCGTGTGGTGGGGAGGGGGCACAAGGGAGATTATGCAGCTTGGGGGGTGGGGGGAAGCATAGTAGAGCCTGTACAGCATGTCCCTAGCCTCACTTACTCTCAGAGCCAGTCCTGGCCCCAGCCTGGCTGGAGCTGCGGCCACTGCTTCTACCTGGCTGAGTCAGACCAGGCTGGGGCTGGAGCCACTGCTGACTGGCCTGGAGCCAGAGCTATCGCCCAGAAGGTAAGCCACAGGAGCCTGTGGGGGGCGGCATGCAGAAGGGGCAGAGTCCACAGGCAGGTGACGTGGGCAAGGAGTGGGGAGGGAGAGACAGGGGGGACAGATGCCACAGGGGTAGGCACAGGCAGTGCTCTGGGGGTAAAAATTTAAGACAACCCTCCAATAATTAGATCATATATATGGACATTTATAACAAATGTATAATTTCCCATGTATAAAATCAAATTACTGATGAGCCATCTTACATTTGAAGATGTTTTGGATTCAGGTAAAATACAGTAGTTTCCTGTTGCTAGTTTCACACAATAGGAATATTTATTCCACATTAATAATACTTTTGAGAACTCAATAAATGAGATCTCATACTAGATTTATAAATGTCAGAATATCAACAGTAGTTAGAACCTAAAAGCCAAATTGGGATCAGACTTTCTCTGTGCTTGGTACTGGTGCACTAAAATCTCACCTGCCTCTTGTTAAAATCTAGTTTAAGACAAGAATTTGTCTTTGCTGTAATGTAAGTATTGGGCAGCATTGTTTATTTACCTGGAATAACTGCTTTCTCATCAACTGATCACAATCTTAGATTCCTGGCACTGCACAGAAACTAAGTTAAAAATCCAAGACTTTGATTTTAACAGGGGGCAACATGCCTGGAACCATGCAGTTCCCGGTTAACCAGGTAGTGAAATCATTCCCAGCTGTATAATAGGGAATGAACAAACAAAGAAATAATATGTACAGAACCCTCAATATTGTGGGAAAAGGTGGAAGGGAGGTTATCTATTTTGATGTCTAATCCATCTTCAAAGTATGTTTATGGGCTAAGTACCTTCAGTGGGGATGTACATTTACCTACACTTTCCAAAAACATGGGGCAAGAATTCATGTCTGTCCCACATACTTGTCACATTATATTACTGTTCTCACTTGCCCAGCATCAGACATAACACACAGAATGTTAGTCAAAAGACTGAATCCCACAATGCCAGACATGCAAGGAACACAAACTACTTGTTAATAATGTCACAAAGGATTTTTCATTACAAAGAACTAGTCCCATCCTACTTACTCCATCTCCCTTGCTTCATTTTTCTAAACTCCAAAAATTCACTTTGACAGGAGATAAATCTGATGGGAAGCTTCCCATCAGATTACTTTTGGGATTCATTTTTAACTAGGAGCAGAAAAAGGCCAAGGACTACATCATAGCTTTCCAGAACAGCCATGTCAATCACAAGTGTGAAAAAAGAGAGGGAGGGGGCTGGGGGAGTATCAGGAAAGGAAGAAAACATGTTTGCTAAGAAAATGCAGTCATGGCAACCGCCTATATGCTCAGTAGACATAAACATGGTTTTGTCTGCCCTGCAAGAAATGTTACATACTAAACTCTGTCTATAAACTATATGTAATTTTTAATTTTTAAAGACACACTAATTTGGTGAAAACAATGAAAGTAATAAAATGCCCTAGACTAGAACAGTACAGCTACTTTAAACAGAAGCTAGAAAAAAGCCCCAAATCTACACCGTTTCCTGTAAAATGAGCATCAGTATATACAAAGTGCATGCTGTAGAGAAATAAAGATGCTATTTTTCAGTATTATGATAGTATTTCTAACTAAATTTTAACCTTTTGTAGAAAATTAATTGACCAAACAGATCCATATTCTAAGAAGCTTTCAGTCAAATGCTAAAATGTGAATATGGCAATTAAAACTTTACATTAGTCCTAAACATGGAGTTTTGTTCACTACAGTATGCATGTATTCATACAGTTTAAAGTCTGCAAAAATACATGACACGTATATAGAATTTTCTTCATGCTGCTGGAAAAGTAAAATTCTAAAAACCTGATACTGCCCTCTACACTACCAAGGATCTATAATTTATGTGTACACCTAGGGGTGCACCAATAGAGATTTTGGGGGCCGATACTGAT